AAGATGAGAACTGAGAAAAGGCTATTGTATTTAGCAATTGAGAAGAAATCATTGTCTTTGAAGCATGTCCTTTCACTGGAATGAAGGGAGTAGAAAGGAAATTGAAAGTGTTTGTAGAACAAGTGAATGGTAGAAAGTAGATACAATGTCAGATTGATCTTTTTTCTTTCTTTTTAAATAGTTTAACATTCACTGATGATCCTTGCCTGAATCAATTATCTCACTGGAGATTGCAAAATGGTGATTTTCTAATTTTATCAATTCTACTACATTTATTAGCTGACATTCTCCTGTAAAAAAAGAGTTTCTTCTCATCAAATGGAGAAGAACCTAATTTCTTCCTAAAATGGCAGGTTAAATGCTTCATTCTTTTTCTTTAATTACCAATTTCTTGATAAAGGAGTTAGTGTTATATAGTATTTCTGATGGAAGCAAATGAGATTTTCCCTTCTCTTTCTTTCTTCTCCCTCTCCCGCTCTGTCCCTCCGTCCCTCCCTCCCCCCTCCTCTCTCTCTCTCTCCCCCTCTCTGAATATCATTATGGATTGATGTGTAGATTCATGTAGCACATTTATTCAATGCATTACAAGATAGACCAAGTTAGTCTTTCAAGAAGCAATAGAAGAGGGCTGGGAATATGACGAAGCCCTGGGTTCGATTCCTCAGTATCACATAAATGGAAAAAGCCAGAAGTGGTGCTGTGGCTCAAGTGGTAGTATGTTAGCCTTGAACAAAAGGAGTTCAGGGACAGTGCCCAGGCCCTGAGTTCAAGCTCCAGGACTGGCAAAGAAGGAGGAGGAGAAAGGTGGCTCAGTGGTAGAGTGCTTGCCTTGCATTGCATGAGGCCCTAGGTTCGATTCCTCAGTACCACATAAGCAGAAAAAGCTGGAAGTGGTGTTATAGCTTAAGTGGTAGAGCGCTAGCCTTGAGCTGAAGAGATGAGGACAGTGCCCAGGCCCAGAGTTCAGGCCCCACAACCGACAAAAAAAAAAAAAAAGAAAGAAAGAAAAAAAAAAAGAAAAAGGAGGAGGAGAAGGAAGCAGCAGCAGCACGCAACAATAGAAGACAGAAAATCTCTAGGAGCATACAGTAACTAAAGAAACATAGACACAGGTGCTTGGCACTGGTGGCTCACACCTGTAATAGCAGCTACTCAGGAGGCTGAGATCTGAGGATCATGGTTCAATGGTGCTATGGCTCAAGTGGTAGAGCACCATCCTTGACAGAAAAAGCTAAGAGACAGCACCAAGGCCCTGAGTTCAGGACCCAGTGCTGACTCTCCCTCTGTCTCTTTGTCTCTCTGTCTGTTTCTGTCTGTCTGTCTGTCTGTCTCTCTCTCTTTCTCTTTCTCTCTCTCTCTCTCACACACACACACACATACAAGGTTATTCTTATCAATAGTAAAAAAATAAGCATCAAAACTCATGAGAGAAAACATATTCAATTCTGCTACTGTATTTTTATAGCCCAGAGTTCTCACACAGGTCCTATAAGGTCATGTACAAAAGTATTCATGTAGCATTGTCTTTATTTATAGAGAGTTGGTAAGTGATTTGTCCATAATTGAGGACATTTTAGACAAAATATGGATGGAGTATTATACAGTGTCTACAAGCTACAAACCAGGTCTTAAAAATGTTACTGAAGCTGAGCACCAGTGGCTCATGCCTGGATTCTAAGCTACTCAGGAGGCTGAGATCTGAGGATCACGGTTCAAACCAGCCTGGGCAGGAAAGTCCATGAGTCTTTTATCTCCAGTAAACCACTCAGAAAACCAGAAGTGGTGCAGTGGCTCAAGTGGCAAAGCACTAGCCTTGAGCTAAAGAGCTGAGGAACAGCGTTCAGGCCCAGAGTTCAAGCCCCATGACCGACAAAAAAAAAAGTTACTGAAAAGACAAGAAAATAAAGGACAAATCTTACAATACTATTTACGTATGTAAAAAACAAAAGTACCTAAAATAATAATGCATGCTTTTTATTTTTTCTTAAATGCATTTTGGGAAGGAATGGTACTAGAATTTGAACTCAGGGTTTTATTTTTATTTTTTTAAATTTTTTTGGGGGGTCTGGCCGTGGGGCCTGAACTCTGGGCCTGGGCACTGTCCCTCAGCTCTTCAGCTCAAGGCTAGTGCTCTACCACTTGAGCCACAGCGCCACTTCCGGCTTTTTTCTTTTTGCTTATGTGGTGCTGAGGAATTGAACCCAGGGCCTCATGCATGCAAGGCAACTGCTCTACCACTGAGCCACCTTCCCAGCCCATGAACTCAGGGTTTTATGATTGCTAGGAAGTTACTTTACAGCCTGGGTGCTGTCTCTGAGCTATTATGCTCAAGGCTAATACTCTACCACTTTGAGCCATAGCAGCTCCATTTCCAGCTTTTTGGTAGTTAATTAGAGAGAAGATTCTCATAGACTTTCCTTCCCTGTCTGGCTTTGAACCATGATCCTCAGATCTCAGTCTACTGGGTAGCTAGGATTACAAGTTGTGAGCCAATGGCACTTGGCTATTTTTTTTTTTATAAGGTCTTTCTATGTGGCCTAGGCTAGACTCTTGCCTCAGTATGCCCTAGTGCTGAGATTACAAACTTTTCTTTTCTTTTTTTGGGTCGGGTTGTGGGGCCTGAACTCTGGGCCTGGGTGCTGTCCCTCAGCTCTTCAGCTCAAGGCTAGCGCTCTACCACTTGAGCCACAAGTGCCACTTCCAGCTTTTTTTCTTTTTGCTTATGTGGTGCTGAAGAATCAAACCCAGGGCCTCATGCATGCAAGCAAGTGCTCTACCACTGAGCCATCTTCCCAGCCCGGGATTACAAACTTTTATCATCAGGCCTGTTCCTTGGATGGGTCTTTTTATTTGTTTTCACTTAATGCAGTTTCTAGTTCCCTCTCTTTTGCTGCAAATGATATGATTTCATTCTTTATGGCTGAGTATGCAGTTACATATACTCAGCCTTAAAGAAGAATCTCATCAGTTGGACCTCTTCATTTATTAGGTAGTGGTCCAAGTCTATTAGAATCTGTGAATTCCTAAGCCCACAACATTCATCTCTTTTCCCACTCACCACTAGAAGATAAGAAATTTACGTAGTAAGGACTATAGTAGACACGATGTGGTCCTTCTTTCTTTTGCTCCCCTCCCACCCAAAAGCTGGTAAAATAAGGTAGCTCAAGACTGCTCTGTCCTCTCCAAGAGTTTTCTTCCTATTTTTTTCCTGCTTGCCTCAATGTATCGTGGGGTGGGTTCCTCTGGTTAACGAGATTAAACCGCATTTTCTTCTATGGCTGCTGGTCAAATCATTTGCTCAAATTAGGAGTCGTAAGAACTGAAACTGGGGTTTGGCGTTAGGGGTAGAGATGGAGCAAAATTTGCTCAAGGACGCTGGGACCTATCAAAGGAAAACCAATTCCTCCATACAGTAATTTACAAGTACTCTTCAGTAGGCACTGAGATGGAAACCCCCTGACTCCCCCGTGACTAGAAAGAAAAAAAAATCTTAAGTCTTGGCCAAAGACACTATTAAGGTCTTCTCAGTCCATCTTTTTACTTGTGAACCACTACTTTTAAAGAGTATCACACTGTCCTGCAAGGAGATTGTAAACTCTTTGAAGGCCTGGATAAGATCTTTATTAACATTGTATCCCGGTGCTGAGAATTGGTGGTGGAAAGATAGTGTCCCTAATGAAGTGTCAACGTGGAATTTGAAATGTTTGTTGCCAAAGATTTGCCGACATCTTTCTCAAGAGATCTACCCCGCACTCGCGGCGTGCTCGCGCGGGGCGCGCGCGCACGCACGCACACACACACAGTCTTTCTCTCCCTCCTCTCCGGTGTCAGAGACACCCCCCTACAACACGGTTGGGTTCATTTAGCTCGTCTACGACTAGGACACGAGAGTCAGAGGAACAGAGGGAAGGAATGGGCCGAGTGTCCAGCATCCCATCCTAGGGGAGGAAAGCGGGCAGGACGACTCGAACCTGCACCATTCTTGCCCTCCTAGGACAGCCATCAGCGCCCGGCCTCTCCCTCTTTGGAGATGAGGCCGTGCAGGGCGGGCCTCCCGTACGTTCCCTCCCAGGGTTGTCTCAACCAGGGCCCAGAAAGCGAGAAAGAGGAAGAGCCAGTCCAGGCGGGGGGCGAGGGGCCGGGGCTCAGCACGACGGGCTGCGGCTGAGGATTCAAGATGGGTCTGCAGGGCGCGGGGAAGACGGCTCGGCGGCACCGCTTTCGCTTCCGCCGCCGCCGCCGCCGCCGTCCTTCCCAGTCCGCGGGGACTGAAACACAGCCCGAGAAGAGAAAGGAGAGTTTCTTTCCGAAGTGTCTGAAAGGCAAAAAAAAAAAGAAAACCCCCCAAAAAACTTTGAGAAAACAACCGAGACGGAGAGGGAGGGAGGGAGAGCGGAGCGAGCCCCGAGGGCGGGGGAGAGAGGAGGAGGCTGAGGTCGTGGCAGCGGAACGCGAGGCCGCGGGGCCAGGAGGGCGGGCGGCGGTCCCGACCCGCGCGAGTCCACCGAGCCGAGCTCCCCCGCACACTCGCGGGCGTCCACACCCGCGCCGGAGGCAGAGGCGCAGCGGGGCTCAGGGGTGGCGCAGGCCCGGAAAGCGCAAAGCTGTGCCCTGGGAGGCCCGCAGCCGCGCCCCGGGGGCGGGCCGGAGGCGGGGCAGCCCCTGGAGCCCGGCTCTGGGGCGGGCGGCTGGCCCCGGGCCTCCCCTCTTGGGCGAGCCGCGGCGACTGAGGAAACCCCTCGGCGCCGCCCGCCCGCCCTCCCGCCCGGCAGCCGCGGCCCAGAAGCCCGGCGCTCATTGGTGGCGCGGCTCGATGTTCCCGCCCCCTCCGCGTCCCCGCCCCCTCCGCCGCCGCGGCTTCCCGGCTCCTCCTCCCCGCCCCCCCCTCTCCAGGAGCCGCCTCCGTCGCCGCCACTGTCGCCGCCACCGGCCCGGGGCCCAGCCAGCGCCTGCCGCGCCGGAGTCGAGTCGCTACCGGAGCCGCTGCCAGCGGCCCCGCCATGAGCGGAAGCGCCGCTGCCGCCGCGGTCGCCGCCGCCGCCGCCTCAGCCGCCGCCGCGCACTTCCAGCCTCAGTCGTCGTCTCCCAGGCCGGGCCCCGCCGAGCTCGGGCCCCCGCGCCGCCCGCGCCCCCCCCCGCCGCCGCCGCCGCCGCCGCCGCCGCCACCCCGGCCCGAGCCCGCTACCGCTGACCGTCTCAGCCCTCCCGGCCACGGGCCTCTTCGGGCGGGCGCGCAGGGTGGCGGCGCCTGCGGCCGAGCGCCAGGAGCAGGTACGGGGTTCGGGAGCGGCCGGGCGGGGAGGGGCGTGGGTCGGTCCCGGGGTGTGTGTGTGTGTGGGGAGGAGGGGGGACCCGGAGGCGTGTGGTCCAGCCACTCGGGCCCGCGGAGGGGGAGGAGCGTTGTCCGCCTCAGCTTTGTCCGGTCCCGGAGCCCCTGGGAACCCCACACCGAGCGGCTCACAAAGCGTTTTCCCTCCTGGTGGGTAGTCCCCCCCCCCAGGTGGGCAGGGCAAGACCTTCATAGGTCTCCGCTGGACCGTGGAGGAAACTGAGGCTCTCAGGGGGAAGTGACTTGCCCAAGGTCACATAGCTGGTGAGAACCGTATCCTGGCTAGGACTCAGGGCCACCCAGGGGCTGGCGCGGGCCTGGAACCGAGGGGGTTGGGAGGATGCCGCCCCCCCCCCCCCCACGGCCCTTGGGAACCGCGAGAGATTGATCGATGGGGGAGGGGGTAGAGCCTGGTTTCTGACACCCCTCCTCACCCCTAGCTGATTCTTGCTGATCAGCTTGGGAGAAAAGATCTCTTTGCAGTGTGGGACAGAGGAGCCGGGACTGCTTTGGGGGGACTGCTTTGGGAGCCCCGTGGTACCCTGGCGAGCCCTCTTGGGGAGCTGAACGGGGAAACGACTCCTGCGAACGGTGTGCTCTTGAGGAGAGGGCTTTCTGGAGTGAGTGGGACCGGGCTTCGGAAACTTGTTATCGTGGGGACCACTTGGTCTCTTCCAGACCACCTTCCCTACCACTGCACACGCTAAGCCAGTCCAGCTGGAATTAATGGGAAAAAGGCCAGCCCGCGTTAGTGATCACACCCGGAAGGTGTCTTTTTCACAGCCCAAGTTTCGTTCATGTCAAACCTAGAAATCCATACAAGACTCTGGGTAAAAAGACATTTGTGTCACAGAAGGCCATATGAGTTTCCCCAGGTGGTCTTGGACACTTGGAGAACTCTTTGAGAAAGAATAACCCTCCCAAGCGTGAAGTGGGAAGGAAGCTGTGACAGCTTGGAACTAGTCACCCTCTTGCCTAGCATGTAATGCATGAGAAATGCGTTTTTGTTTGGGGTGGTTGACTAGGTGGGATTTTTTTTTTTTTTTTAACACTGCGGGTGCATCTCGGAAAAGGAAGCTGGAGAGGAAAAGGAAAAAGCATCATGTTACAGGCAATGAAGAGGGTCCCATAGAAACAGTGAAAAGGGGAACTGCGAGAGAATTGTTCAGTTACTGTGGGGGAAGGGAGATAAAAAGGATTGCTGAAGGGAGAAGGAAGGTGTCTGGGGAAAAAGACTGGGATGTTTCAAAGAGGGAATGTGAAAGTCTGTTAGAGGTAGATAGTATCTTAAGAAAATTGAATTTATATATTGGTGTGCAATCACTTCATTTTTTTTAAAAACAGTTGTACTACTTTTATAGAAACAGCCTAGAGTTAGCACCCTTCCCATTGTCACTTCTGTTCTAAGAATGCAGGTCCCCAAAGTATTTGTAGTGTTGTCTTAGACTTAGGACTTAACTAGAGTGATGGCAAAGACTATGCGTTAATTAAGGCTCTTTGTCCAGGGTGATTTCTGCTTTAAATCAGCTATTTCCTTCCTGTACTGCACCTTAGCTTTATCAAGGTTAGCTCCTTGCTTTGGGAACTCCTCTGCTTCAAACTAGATGGGTTGCTTTGTTTTATTTTTCTAAAAAAATCTGCAAGGAGCTGGGCATGGTGTCACAATCAGCACCCTTTAACAAGGGTGCTTGGAGCAGAAGGATTAAGAGTTTGAAACCAGACTGATCAACTTAGCAAGGCCCTGTCTTGAAATATAATAAAAGTGTTAGTGGTATAGTTCAGGGGTGAATGCTTGCCTACTATGTTTGATGCCCTAGGTTCAATCCCCAGTTTGCAAGAAACATACAAAGTAAAAAAAACCCACAATTGGGACCTGGGTGCTGTCCCTGAGCTGCTTTTTGTTCAAGACTAGCACTTTACCACTTGAGCCATAGTGCTACTTCCAGCCTTTTCTGTTTATGTGGTGCTGAGGAATGAAACCCAGGGCTTCATGCATGCAAGGCAAGTACTCTTCCACTGAGCCACCATCCCAGCCTGAAACTACATATTTGATCGACATTTACATACACATATGCAAAGATAAACTTGTCCAAGATTTTTAATCAGGGAAATGTAGTTTACCACAATTGTGGATGCCATTTCACACCCAAAACTTAAAGGTTTGGGAAATAGGTATCATTAAGGTTGTGGGGGCAATCAAGCAGGAAAGTCCATAAGACTCTTATCTCCAATTAACCAGCAAAAAGATGGGAGTGGTGTTGTGGCTTAAGTGGTAGAGCACTAGGCTTGAGTGGAGAGGTCTTAGGGGCACCCAGTCCTGAGTTCAAGCCCTAATATGGGCACTGTGTCTATATCTGTATCTATATCTATATTTATATCTATATACACACATATACACACAAAGTCCTTGCTACTCAGGAGGCTGAGATTTGAGGATCAGGATTTAAAGCCAGCCTGGGTAGAAAACTGACTCTTAGCTCCACTTAATTACCAAAAAAAGCTGGAAATGGAGCTGTGAGTCAAGTGGTAGAGCTCCAGCCTTGTGCAAAAAAAGCCCAGGGACAGCAACTAAGCCCTGAGCTCAAGCCCCTAAACCGGTGTACACACACACACACAAAATTATCTATTAAGATTGATTTTTTTTTTTCAACTTGAAATCAGGTCCCCAAACGATCAGCTTTTTTTTTTCATAGCTGGTACTCTACCACTTGCCATCCCTTTTACTAATGTTTAAATCATATAGTTACAAATTAAGATTTGCTAATATTGGGCATGGGGTAGAATATTAAGTATACTATTCCAACTATTTTTGAGACATCTGAAATATTTCTCACATGTAAAAGATGTTCTTGTTTATAGAACACTGAGTTTTTGTTCCATAATGGAATTGTAGCTACAGGCACCAGGCTAACACAGTCTTTTAGGTGTGAAAGCCCTTTCTGACCTAAACCTAGTTTTGATGTGGACTTTTAGTCTGGAATTGTTGATAGGTGTAGGGGGTTTCGTAGTCTTTTGAAAATGTCTAGTGGACCTAGGTAAGAAGTATGAGCTTCATCAAAATATAAATGCTCCAGCACATTCCAATTTATTAAGTGTAGGGAGGGGCTCAGACATCTGATTATGATGCCCACTAAATTCTGAAGACCTCTGTTTTTAGCTGTGCCCCAGCCTAGGCCCTAGGCACTGATTTGTTATTTCTCTTGGATGACTAGGACTAGATTTGGATCTACCCTGATACTTGGACATAAACCATTCCCTTACCCTCCCCCACCCCCATGTTGAACTCAGAGCTATTAACTTGCTTGACTTGCTTGCTTCTGCTGGTGCTTTACCACATGAGCATATCTCCAGCCTAGGTTTTTGTTGGTTATTTTGGAGATAGTCTTCCAGACTTTTCTGCCCATGTTGGCTTTGAGCTGTGTTCACTGTGACCCTCTAGATGTTAGCCTCCTCAGTAGCTAGGGTTACTATAAGCCACTGGTCCTGGAATTTTTTTTCCCCTTAAAGACCATGTCTTGTTATGGTAGCCCAGGTTGACCTTGAATTTGCTATTCTGCCTTACCCTCCAGGGTGTTGGGATTAGAGGTAACTACCACCATCATGCTATTTTCTGAAAGAACTGACAATCGGATTAGTTGCTCATACTCATCTTAAATCAGGTAGTAAGTTTCTCAATTTCTCTTATTTTTAGGGTTTGTTACCTACCAAGGTTTTTTGTTTGTTTTAAATCAGATTTACGTTTTTTTTTTTTTTTTTACTATGTGTTAGCAATGCAGTTTTATTAGGATAAGAGCAAAAAAAGAGATACAGTGAAGATAAATAAATTTGGAGAAAGTAAACTCCCAAAGTTATGGGGTCATTCTTTTTGGAAGAGTACTAGAGATTGAACCCAGAGCCTTGCTCATTCTAAACATGTATGGAAACCACTGAGCTATGTCCCTCATCCCTCATGCTTTTCTTAAGAGAAGGGTAGTTTTAGCTTGTGACCTGCTTTTGAGGTTCAACAGTTTGGGTCTTTAGGAAACAACTGATTATCCTTGAATCAGAAGAATTTTCTTTCTCCCAGATTTGCTAGTTTTCCTTCTCTGCTAGATTTTGTTCTAGTTCTACTGTATTTAGGAACAAACTTATGATAATAACTGTGAGACGAGACTGAGATAATGAAACTTGTGAAATACTTTTTTTTTTGTTTTGAGGTTCTTCTTTCTGGGAACCTTCTGTAGAGGTGCAGAAGTGCCCCAAGTATATTTTTCTTCAGGGCTGCTATGTAAAACTGGATAGATTGCTTTCAGAACAAGGACACTGTTGCAGGTAGCAAGTAAGGGTAGAATTCTGTTGCCAAGATGAGCACCTAGTTTGAAACTACTTGATCCTCAGAAGAGTGACCTTCCTTCCTCCCTTCTTTTTTCTTTTCTTTTTGGAGAAGGCAGGTGTTTTGTTTTTGGGTTCTTTTTTCATTGTTGTTTTGTGCCAGTCCTTGGGCTTCAACTCAGGGCCTGGCCCTAAGCTTCTTTTGCTCAAAGCTAGCACTCTACCACTTGAGCCACAGCTCTACTTCCAGCCTTGTGGGTGGTTAATTGGAGATAAAAGTCTCACTGACTTTCCTGTCTGAGCTGGCTTTGAACCAAGTCAGACTTCAGCCTTATGAGTAGCTAGGATTCTAAGTGTGAGCCACCAGCACCTGGCTAGGGGCAGGGTTTGAGAAAAAAATTTTACTATGAAACTCAGGTTGCCCTGATATTTCTATGTAGCCTAGAGTAGCTTTGAACTTGTGATTCTCCTGTCTCTGCCTCTCATTACAGCCATATGCCACCATGCCAAATGAGAAGAAGGGACATCCACATTCTCACACACACACAAAAATGTGGTGTGAACCAGCTCTCCATACTATATTGGAACTCTAGGTCCAGCAGTAATTGTTCACAGTCATCATGGCTCTGCA